TGAAAGAGGAACACTATAGGTACGGATATTTATTTCAGAGACATTTGTACATTTCTCTTTTTAAGAGTCGCCAATCGCTTCTTGTGCGATCGGCTATTAAGATGCTCTGTCCATTGGGATAGATTTACAAACACGCGCCCTTTGCAAGCCGAACAGATATAGGGAGGAGGTGGGACTTCTGGAACATCAGTGGAAGGTGTGTCCACGAACGGCTCTGGAGTAAGGAGTAAGGGACTCGCCTCCCCAATAATGGTAGCGAGACATGGTTCAAGGATATTTGAGCTCCAGATTGACTCTGCTTCTTCAGGCGAAGCAGCAGTCAGCACGGGCGTTACATCAAGACGATAGACAGGAATGCCACCAAGAGCAGGACGCCGAAGGAACCGATTGTTTACCCAACGTAACTAAACAAAAGTAGCGAAAGCATTTATGCACTCATTTAGCAGTAAGCAGCTGTGATAAATGGTATTCAAGTGCTATTCCTACTATGCCAACCCCTGACACTTCCAAAATGTGAACCTTATAGTGATAACATAAAGCCATGTTTCTACTAAAGCTATCCCATCAAATCCGTGTGCTCCACAGATTTTAGAAAAAAGTAGGCGTTGCTAATAATTTATATTTTGTTCGGCGTATATGAATTGCCTTCGTACCGATGAGAATTGCTTAGCGTGACACAATTTACCATAACAAAGACGCATGCGCACACCTATCATCGATATTCAAACCGATAGGACATGTCCACTCCATGAAATGGCTGCATAAGGGTACTTGGAGTGGATACTGCAGTAGTAATTTTCCTTTGTTTTCGTTATTTATTGACCAATGATTTAATTAACAATTTCTTTCGATTTGACAGCATTTTATACTGTATGGGAAAAGATAGTGATAGAGCAACCCAAGTGGTTCTGTGCTCAGATCATAGGAGGTTTCGAGACCATTAATAGGAAAAATCCGATTGTGCGATTTCCAGATTTACTGCATGATACACCACACAAGGTTAGGAGAGGAACCAAAATTATTCCAAACACTTCGATAAAGAATGTGGGAGAGTTTGCTGAAGTTCATGCTCGTCAAGGATGTTTCTGTCCTCTTGCATTGTAATGCTCTTCAATGAAGCTTCACAGTTCTTATTACACCTAACAAGCTAGGACCATCAAAACATTTCTATATCTTTGTCTTAGACAAATGAGTCTTTAGCACTCGGTATTCATCACAAATCACCCAATAGGCTTTTGATTACACCTTAGGGATGCAAACGAAATCTAAGAAACCGACTTGGCGCCGAGCATACTGTCTTGTGGCGATCTTCATCTTCTCAATTGCCTCGGCTAACATCACTCGGCCATTTACAGACTCCCTTTCGGACGCCGACAGTTGAAGGAAGTCCTCGAATTCCTTAAATCCTATGCTCTGCAGAATGCCACGACACCAATGCTCCGTTCCAACTGAGGGTAGAAGATCCTTGTTGGCAAGCTGAAAGAGCGCCTTCTTTCCCGCCTCATTAACACCTATAAATAGATCAGAGACTATCAATCCTTTATTAACCAGCAGTGTTGGCAACTTCCATTTCAATAAAGCACAGCAACTGATTACATAAAGGAGCAATAGCCAGCCACAAGCTTCTAATTTACTCAGATCACACTATTAGATGCCGAAATAACTCCTGTTTGGAGGAAAATATAGATCAAAACAATTGTAGCGCATTTATAACATAGGCCTTCAGCAGTGTCGTTAGCGTCTAGGTGAAATTAATATATAGTTTCATAACTAATCAAATCGAAGCCACCTTTTGGTAATTTCTACTACTCTGATTTCTATGCTAACTTCATGTATTGGGAATCCTCTTTGCATACCCTTATAGGATTGAAAATCAAACACATACAGAAAAAGTCAATCGCGTACAGCCAAAACAAACATATGGAACGACTAGCTTTAGCAACATTGAAACCAACAATATACGAAAAAATCACACAACAATGACGGTGTCGTCAAAGCTTAGATGAACAAAGTAGCTTTGCATGCGACCCTTTTTAAGGTAGATACACTGAATTCTGGGTTTCAATTAGCAATAAAGGAAATTAATATTCCAATAAAGTCAAAAACAAGTGAAACAGCTGTGAGGGAAGACAAGTAAAAAAAAGGGAAAACAATGTGAGTAGTAGCCCATCGAAACAAAGTTACAGTCCAGGGGGAGCTGTATGACTCACTGCCATCTTCGTTGAAAAATGGACCATCTGGAAGAAGAGATTTGGCTGCAGAAATGAGAAAATCGTCCAGCTCACTTATGAGTCCACGCTGCACCATTTTCGAAACCCGTTCGTCCAGGCGCAGATTAAGTATCGAAGACTGACAACAAAGCCAAAAAATAAGACTGTTTGGTGGAGGATAACGCGGACAAGAGCTCCGATTGGTCGAAGTTCGTGGTGAAAATGCGTCAGTGGCAGATGAATTCGCCGTTTCACAGGAAAGATGGACCAAGAGAGCCTGTTGAAGTTTTCTAGTGTCGTTGGGATGAAGATGTATGGCTGCCTCCGAATTGACATTGCTCAAGGCAGCATAGTAATCCCTTGGATCCTTTGGTAAGCGCATTCTAGGACGACGAAAGATGGTAAAATAGTTTTTCAGTCCATTATGGGTCGGTAAATAAAGCCCAATACTACTGCCTTCCCGAGAGTACTGAGAAGCCTGCCGATTTCCACAGCGAATTCATAATACTTTAACAGAAAACATGAACCAAGCCCAAGAATTGAAGATTCCGCTAAGAAGGCTTAAAACAAAACAGAATGCCCGAAACACCTTTACTTTCGGGGATTTACTGTCCTTAGAGTGGCCCATCGGGCGATATATAAACGCCCAGACTTCGTAGAATTGGGAAGCCATTATATAACGAGTTCCAAGTCGGAAAGGAAACTGAAAAATCCTATGGAGATTCTAAGCCCAAAACCAAATAATTCACAATTCTGCGGATATGGTACCGTTAATTGGAGCAGAAATCGATGGGCCTTTTCAAGAAATGAGAATTAGCTATACAGTTAGTGCGAACCAAAACTAGAAAAATAAACACCAGGAAGAGGAACGTGAACAAATAACGCTTAGACGACTGCAACGACAGGTGGCTGATGGGAATACCAGAAGAGACCATCCCAGGACGAAGTAAGCATTCTAGTGTTTAGAATCATCAAATCCGTTGCCACTAGTAGTTTATTCACCTCCTTTCAGGTTGCTTACTAATGGGTTAAAAAAATTAGTTCCAAAAGTGAAGAACTTCAATTAACAATCTTTAAAAGCACCTTTTTAGCGACTCAGAACTTGAGCGAATCAAAAATGCATTTTTGGAAGCAAATATTCTTAGTAAGTAACGAAACTTTTCATACATATTTAGAGTACTAGACCTCAACAACGATCGAGTAGTTTAATTACTATGGTGAGAAGCGCACAAGGAAGTGCCCAAAACATTTTGCACGCGATCAGCATCTGAAACAATGACACACGCTAGAACACCGCTCATCAAATGCATTTGATAAATCGCTACATACACTTAGATCAAAACATTGCAATGCTGGAAATTGTTACCATTTATTAAAATCAATGGCACTGAACATTCTATTGACGAATAAGAATGCACGGTAACGTGGCAGCAAACCCAGCAAACATGAGGAGAATTAGAAATCATGAAGATATATGAGAAAGGAATCGAGACAAGTATAGCACTTTACAGAAGTTCGAACGGCCATGAGACTTGCACATTGTCCGATTGTACCGTAGCATTTGCTGCCTCAATCTTCTCCACATTTCCTTTCCCATGGGAAGTTCGCTCCTTCGTGGGACGGAGGAAGTCCCGCCAGAGAACAGCCTCGAGGTAGTAGTGCGTCCCGCCAACCACCACGGGTGTCACTCCGTGCATCCTCAATACATCAATTAGATAACAGCAGTCACGGCGATAGCAATGCACGTTGTAGCGAAAACCCTCTATTGGATCCAGACAACCCAGAAGGTGGTGAACCACATCTCCTGCCTCCTCCTTTGTTACCTAGTGTAATAGTTGGCATATTTATACTTAGGAGGCACAACAGTAGTCAATCGACGTAAAGCCGAAAGCTTTCGGATTCGACTATTTACGTGAGACAGAACTGATAGGCCTGAAACCACTTTGATGGCACAATTCCGGCCACCCAAAAGTCTCAATAAGGTTCAGTGGCTGCAAAAGTCTAAGTAAAAAAGGGAAACAGAATATTTGTTAGAAATGACCTGTTTACTCTCATAGGCGATAAATAATTACCATGAAGTTTGATATGAGGCGAACATGAGTGAAAATGCAACGATGAAGAACAGAGAAGCGACCACAGCTGTTACTGTAATTACCTTATTTGTGGCAATATCAAGACCTTTGTAAAGCTGAACAGCATCGGCGTTGATGACTTGTCCACCCAAGCGTCTTGCCAAATCGATAGCTAGTTTTGATTTCCCGGTACCCGTAGCACCACAAATGGCAATTACAGGACATTTCCTTGATAAATTATTCATGGAAAATAGGAACTGAAAGACAAAATACGTTGGTACAAGAAATGTTAAACATTAGGAGAAATATGTCAAGACCAACTGAAGAATATTAGACACGGAGCAGGAACTGCAGACGGAGTACTACAAATTAGTCAAATGGGTACAGTGAGCTTACAATATTGCACAGGAAAACGCAAGACGGACGACTGGAAGTGTTCAATATGAAGAGTGCACAAGTTAGTTAAAACGACTAAGTGGGCTGTTTTACTACGGACCGGATGGACTCTAAAGGCGTAGATGAGCAAGATGGTTTGACACCACAACAAGAACTATAAAGACAAATAAAGCGTCCAAAATTATTGCAGACACGAAAATAAAATTTAGCGGTTGTACATGAGCTCCACAATTTTCAACTTGGTTTTGATTATTATCATCAATAAACTAGTGAAAGTGGGGAACCTACCTAAAAGAGAACTCATTAAGAAAGTTCAACAAACCTAAGATAAAGGCACAATTTGTTCTGCCTAAAAAAGCTGGTTAAAAGAATCAGTATTCCGTTTCCGATTTACAGGGACGGCGAAATCCACGTTCGAAATGAATTATCTGATTTGACCAGTAATATCGAATCTTTGATAAAAAACATTTGGCAGAGTAGATAGCCAAGAATGCTTAAGCAGAAAAAGCGACGAATGCATAGGTTTGGCAATTCAAGTAAAATGCAGAAGAGTTGCAACCAACACATACAACACCTACAAACAAAGTGTCGCACAGGGTACCAATCAAGTTGCGGGCCAACATTTTCTTATGAATGGAGGTACACATAACTGTTGAGGTAAATATATACAACACGATCCAAAGGGATGGGAGCTTTTGGCCTGGTTCGAAGGCCCAGTTGGATCAATAAGACGGCCAACTGACTGCCGCGGCTACCCACGAACGAAACGGCAAGAAACCATGGTTCCTTAGACAGGACATTAGTGTGGCGACCGCTACTACCCACCAAGTAAATGAAAGCCTTAGATCTGGCTGAATACATGT